AGGAGCAGTTGTAAAAGTCACTCTTGAGAAAGCTTTTGGAATTAGTGAACTACAAATTCTGAAACGCTCTGTAAATGGATTGTTGCAGGCAGAGCTCTATGATGGTAAGTGTTGCGCAGACCCAGACGCTGACTTTCAGCTTTTGGATCGCGTGGTCTATACGATACAGGTAACTACGTCTTCGTAAACTTACTTGTAATGTCAGTTAATCTCAATGAATACTTCAGGGTAGAGGATTAATTACCGTCATAAATTCTGCCTGCGCGGACTACTCTTGTTATTTATGTTTATAAGTAATAAATTCTGCCTACGCGGACTACTCTTGCTATTTATGTTTATAAATAGTACGTATTAAATAGGAGCATTGTGATTAGGCCGCAAAACTTTAGGATAGGCTACCATACATATTCTCCTCTACTCAAGAGAAGTACGTTTATGTTTGTTAAAAAAATGGAAATGGTATAGTTGTTTGTGGGATAGGGCACAATTACGGCAAATGATTCTCTACGCCTTCGAATGTGTTTATGACGGGTGGCGCGATTATGGTTGTCACTAATAGCAGCATAAGGCTTTATATTACATGAAGCTTTAATTTGTAATCGTGTAATTATTTTCAATTATGAATGTAAAAGCTGTCTACTTGTTTCGAACCATAGTGAGACACCATCTAAAAAACGAAGGGGTAAGTCGGAATTTTGAAGTGATGAGGTTGGGGAAATTTAAAGAAAAGAAAAAAAATTTTGGTTTGTAGCTCTGACCAAATTCAACTCGTGAAATTTCTTCCTTGTTGTTTTGAAAATCTAATTCTGAAAATAGGTTTTTGTTGTGTTTAGCTGTTTATATACTGAGAACCTGGAAAAACCGCGCCACCCGACCGTCTCCCCCTTCGAATATCATTTTGCTTTTTTTAGGGCAGCTCGGTCCCATTTGGATGCCAGGGTACCGTTATAGGAATTTTATCTGGTAAAGTGGATGTACTGTTCGATCATGAGTTTAGCAACGGGTGTAAAATGAGGTGATTGTCATGTATTGCTTCCAGTTTTACCACTATGAGTATGATTGCGCATAGTTTATTTTGTGACACTTTGTTGTTGTTTCGTCTTGAATGCTTTAAATTGGACTAGCTGCAGGGGATCATTGAATAGTGGTGCGTGCGTGCCTAAAACTTCACTCATCAATATCACTTACGGTAAAGAGAGGAAAGGACGTAAGCTTGCGGAGCTTTCTGAAAATGTTGGAAAATGCTTTTTAAGTGGGAAGGATGATGTGCAATTGAAGAAGAAGGTAAATTCACTGTTATGAAATTAGTGATCTTCCATGGTTTCTTTAATTTTCAGATAATGGTGGCATTGAAGAAACCTGCATCAGAAGCAGCTACTTTCACTGAGGCGCCTCTTGCCTCACTCGCAAGGAAGCGAAACGAACAATCAGTGGCAGGTTTGTTCCGCATTCACTCATACACGATGTGCTCTGGCGTAGCTTTCTCAGGTCAAGTATTTTTGCTTTTCTAGAAGTTAAGTAGCAGTTTGCTGTGTCCGAAAACTGTAT